ACTCACCTAGTGACACAAGGCAGGGACCCCCAGGGTGACAGGGGTGGGTGAGGGCATGGGGACAGGACCCCTAGGGTGAGAAGAGTCCTGCAGGATGACAGGGGGTACAGGCAGTTTTTTTTTGCACCGGGAGGGGACTCACCTAGTGACACAAGGCAGGGACTCCCAGGGTGACAGAGGGCACAGGGAGGGCACCACCCTAGGGACACAGGGCAGGGACCCCCCCTAGGGACATGGAAAGGGGACCCCCAGGGTGACACGTACCTGAGGCTCTGGCAGAAGCTGATGACAGCCTGTTCCTGCTCGGGGGTCTCGATGGAGCCAGGCCGCAGGCGCCGCAGCTCGCGGATGGCATCGTGCCCGGCCAGGCCCCGTGCCCTGCCCAGGTAACAGGCCAGCAGGGTGCCCGTCCTGCCCCTGCCCAGCATGCAGTGAACGGCCACAGCCTGCCCAGAGGGACAGCAAAGGGTGTAGGTGGCACTGAGGGACCCCCCGTGCTCCCTGTGTCACCCCCTGGTGCTACATCACCTCCTGCATCACCTGCTACATCACCTACTACACCATCTTCTACATCACCTGCTACATCACCTCCTACATCACCTACATCACCTCCTACATCACCTTCTACATCACCTACATCACCTCCTGCATCACCTACTACATCACCTTCTACATCACCTCCTGCATCACCTACTACATCACCTTCTACATCACCTCCTGCATCACCTACTACATCACCTTCTACATCACCTCCTGCATCACCTACTACATCACCTTCTACATCACCTCCTGCATCACCTACTACATCACCTTCTACATCACCTCCTGCATCACCTACTACATCACCTTCTACATCACCTCCTGCATCACCTACTACATCACCTTCTACATCACCTCCTGCATCACCTACTACATCACCTTCTACATCACCTCCTGCATCACCTACTACATCACCTTCTACATCACCTCCTGCATCACCTACTACATCACCTTCTACATCACCTCCTGCATCACCTACTACATCACCTTCTACATCACCTCCTGCATCACCTCCTGCATCACCTACTACACCATCTCCTACATCACCTTCTACATCACCTGCTACATCATCTCCTACATCACCTCCTGCATCACCTCCTACATCACCATCTTCTACAACATCTCCTACATCACCTCCTACATCATCTCCTACATCACCTTCTACATCACCTACATCACCTCCTGCATCACCTCCTGCATCACCTCCTACACCATCTCCTACATCACCACCTACATCACCTGCTACAACATCTCCTACATCACCTGCTACATCAC